CAGGCTTAAATCCGGCTCGGATCTAAGCCTGGCTTAGCCTGTGCTGGGGGGATTAAAACATCCCAAAATTCCGGCTCCGTGGACACCCCCAAAAAATCCCGGCCCCAACAAAACCTCTCCACCAAAACCGGCCTTGGTGGGGAGCAAAAATCAGAAATTCTCTTTTTTTTCCCCCCTCTTTATTTTGTTGAATAATTCCCGGTTTTGGTTTGGGGAAAAAGATTTATTTTTGTTTTAATCTGAGGGTTGAGCTGCGATTCCACCCCCCCAAAAAAACCCTGCGGGGGATAAAAAAACCCAAACCAAAACAAAGGGGAAAAAAGCAAAGTCAAGGTTATCAAAACGCGGCGAATCTGCCCCAAAGCGCCCGCGCCGGGAGAGGTTTTGGTGGGAAAAAAAAACCCAAAAAAAGGTTATTTTGGGCTGGATCTGCGCTGCGGGCGGAAAGAATGGAAATGGAAATAAATAAAAAGGGTTTCATGGGCTCGGGAGTTGGATTTGGGGCTGAGCGGATTTTGGGGATTTTTTTGGGGTCGTTGTCGGTGAAATTTGGGTTGGAGGCGATTTGGGGCGGATTCGGGTGTTTTGCGCTCCTGGAAACCTCTCCAAGGTGCGCTTTTCGTTCCTGTCGAGCCCCAATTTCGGTGGTTTTTTAATGAAAAACTCATTTTTTGGCGGAATTTCAGCGTTTGGGAGGGGGTTCTGGGGCCGACCCCGAATTTTCCCGGAATTGCCCCAAAGGCGGGCCCCAGGATTTGCTGCGATTCTCTCGGGTTTTCCCCGGGATTGAGGCTCGGATCCCGCCCGGATTTTTCCTCCTCATGACCAAATTCAAGGATCCGCCGCTGTTTATTTAGGGGCGTGCGAACCGCGGGCGCCTCGCCCGAAATTCCTCCCAATTCCCCCAATTCCTGCCCCCGCCGCTCAGGGAAAATCCCCGAAAATGGATTTATTCCACCCCAAATTCTCCCCCGGCAGCGCCCAGAAAGGCTCCGGGGTTTGGGGTGAGCCGGGGGAGCCCCCAGGGCTGCGGGGAACCCCAAAATCCACCCCTGACCGCGGGGAACTTTTAATTAGCGGAGTTTAATTGCCGTGGGGGAGGCAGGAGATCTTCACCCCGCGACCTTTGCGGTGGAGGCGCCTTCGGATTTATTTAGAATTTATTCAATGAAATCCCTTTTATTTCCTTCCCCAAACCCCGATTTATGTCCCCAAACCCCGGGTTATCTCCTCCAAACTCGATTCTTCCCCCCAAAAAAACCTTTTTTTCCCCCCAAAAATCCCCATTTCCCTCCCCAATCCTCGATTTATCCCCTCCAAACTCGACTCTTCCCCTCAAAACCCACATTTCTCTCCCCGAAACCCACATTTCTCTCCCCAAACCCCAATTTATCTCCTCTAAACTCGATTCTTTCCCCCGAAATCTTGATTTCCGTCCCCCCAAACCTCCTCCAAATTCGATGCTTCTCCCCAAAAACCCCATTTCCCTCCCCAATCACTGATTTATCTCCTCCAAACTCAATTCTTTCCCCCAAAACCCCGATTTTTCTCCTTCAAACTCCATTCTTCTCATCGATGCCCCGATTTATCTCCCAAAATCCGATTTATCTCCCCAAAAATCCGATTTCTCCCCCCAAAACCAAATTTATCCCCCCCAAATCTGATTTATCTCCCAAAATCTGATTTATCTCCCCAAAAATCCGATTTATCCCCCCAAAACCGGATTTATCCCCCCCAAATCCGATTTATCTCCCCAAAAATCCTAATTATTCCCCCGAAATCCGATTTATCCCCCCAAAATCTGATTTATCCCCCCAAAATCCGATTTATCTCCCCAACCCCATCACTCCAACCCAGCCTCGCATCTTTTTTTAACCCCAGCACCTCCGGCTCCAAAATCCCGCAGCGCCTCCATTTAAACCCCATTTTTGGGCCGAAAAATTCTTTATTTTAACCCCATTTTCAGGCTGGAGAAACCTTTATTTAAACCCTGTTTTGGGGCCGAGAAAACATTTCCTTTAATCCCATTTCGTGCCGAAAACCCCATTATTTAAAAGCGATTTTCTTGACGAATAAACCTTTATTTTAACCCGATTTTTGTGCTGAACAAAAGCTCCATTTTAACCCCATTTTTGGGCCGAAAACCCCGTTATTAAAACCCGATTTTTGTGCCGAATAAACCTTTATTTCAACCCCATTCTCAAGCCTGAAAACTCCATTTTCCAAACCCCATTTCGACCCGGTTAAACCTTTATTTAAACCCGATTTTGGGCCGGAAAAACCCCAAAACTATTTAAAATCCATTTTCGTGCCGAATAAATCTTTATTTTGACCCGATTCTCGTGCGGACAAACCCTTATTCAATCCCATTTCGGTGAGGAAAAAACCCGCATTTAGGCGGATTTTGGTGCGGAAAAATCCCCATTTAACCCGATTTTGGTGCAGAAAAAATTAATATATAATTAAGATAATTAAATAAGATAATTAAACGGATTTGGGTGCGGAAAAACCGCATTTAAACCAATTTCGGTAGGGAAAAAGCTGGACTTGGGAGGATTTTGGTGCGGAAAAATCCTGATTTAGGAGGATTTTGGTGCAGAAACCCCTCATTTAACCCGATTTGGGTTCCGATCCCCGATTTAACCCAATTTGGGGTTCCGAATCCCGGATTTAACCCAATTTTGGGTTCCGAACCCCCGATTTATCCCAATTTTGGGTTCCGAACCCCCGATTTATCCCAATTTTGGGTCCCAAAACGCCCCTTTTGCCCCGATTTTTGCGCGGACCCCCCAGGCCGGGCCGGTTTGGGGTTCCAAAAGCCCCGATTTTACCCAATTTTGGGTTCCGAACCCCTGATTTAACCCAATTTTGGGTTCCAAAAGCCCCGATTTTACCCACTTTTGGGTTCCGAACCCCCTTTTCACCCCGATTTTGGCTCGGGACCGGCCCGGTCTGACCGGGCTGTTGTTTTTGGCAGAGGAGGCCAAGGCTGAGGGCGAGGGAGGGGGAAGTGTCTGAAGGTTGATTTCTCTGCAGAAAACCCCGATTTTGGCCAATTTCGGGTTCAAAAACCCCCAATTTTAGCCAATTTCGGGTTACAAAAGCCCATTTTTAACCAGAATCTGGTTCCAAAAGCCCCGATTTCAGCCGATTTGGGGTTCCAAAAGCCCCGATTTTAGCCAATTTGGGGTTCGGGCGGTTGTCTTTGGCAGAGCAGCCCAAGGCCGAGGGCGCGGGCGGGACGTGGCTGAGCGCTGATTTCTCTGCAGAAAACCCCGATTTTAGCCAATTTGGGGTTCCAAAAGCCCCGATTTCTCCCAATTTGGGGTTCCAAAAGCCCATTTTGAACCCGATTCTGGTTCCAAAAGCCCCGATTTTAGCCAATTTGGGGTTCCAAAAGCCCCGATTTTAGCCAATTTGGGGTTCCAAAAGCCCCGATTTTTGCCAATTCGGGGTTCGGGCGGTTGTTTTGGCAGAGCAGCCCAAGGCCGAGGGCGCGGGCGGGACGTGGCTGAGCGCTCGCTCCGGGAGGAAGAAGCGCTGTCCCTACACCAAGCACCAGACGCTGGAGCTGGAGAAGGAGTTTCTGTTCAACATGTACCTGACCCGCGAGCGCCGCCTGGAGATCAGCCGCAGCATCGCCCTCACCGACCGCCAGGTCAAGATCTGGTTCCAGAACCGCCGCATGAAGCTCAAGAAGATGAACCGGGAGAACCGGATCCGCGAACTCACCTCCAACTTCAGCTTCAGCTGAGCGCGCACGGCGTCTCCCCCCTTTTCCTGGCGTTTTTTTGGGGTTTTTTTGCTGTTTAATCCCTGGTTTATTGTTGTTTTGTTGTTTTAGTTGGTTGGTTTAGCCTAGCGTTTTATTTTGTTGTTTTATTTTATCGTTTTGTTTTATTATTTTGGTTTATTGCTTTGTTTTATTGGTGTGTTTTATCATTTTTCTTTATTTTTGATTTTATTTTTATTTTATTTTTATTTTAATTTTTATTTTATTTTTAATTTTATTTTTAATTTTATTCTTAATTTTATTTTTAATTTTATTTTTATTTTATTTTTTCTTTCATTTCTTCTTTCATTTCTTCTTTCATTTCTTCTTTCATTTTTTATTTCATTTCTTCCATTTTTTATTTCATTTCTTCCATTTTTTATTTCATTTCTTCCATTTTTTATTTCATTTCTTCTTTCATTTTTTTCTTTCATTTCTTTCATTTTTTCTTTTTTATTCATTTATTCCATTTTTTATTTCATTTATTCTTCCATTTCTTTCATTTTTTTCTTTCATTGTTTTCTTTCATTTTTCCTTTATTATATATTTCATTTTTACTTCATTTTTATTTTATTTTTAATTAATTTTTCTTTCATTTTTTACTTTATTATTTACTTCATTTTTTATTTCATTTTTTATTTCATTTTTTATTTCATTTCTCTTTCATTTTTCTTTCATTTCTCTTTCATTTCTCTTTCATATTTCATTTCATTTTATCATTCTGCTCTATCTCCTTTCCCATTTTATTTTTTATTTTCCTTTTATTTTATTCCCCGTTTTATTTTTCATTTCATTTCACCGCTTTATTACCCTGTATCTAATTTTTCCTTGTTTTTTTCCTTTAAATTTTATTTCACCCATTCCCTTTATTATTTTGTTTCACCATTTCCTCTTTCATCGTTTTCTTCCACCGTTTTCTCCCATCATTATTTTATTCTCTTATTTTATTCTATTATTTTATTCTCTTATTTTATTCTCTTATTTTATTCTCTTATTTTATTTCATTATTTTATTAGTTTATTATTTTATCTTCAGGGCCTGACCGCTTTTATTTTTATCCCCGCGCGCCCGCAAAAACCGAAAAAACGCCGAAAAGGTCGGAAAATAAAACAAAAAAAGGGACCTGGAGTGGTTTTTGCGCTCTGAGGGGATTTTTGCGCCCCCCGCGCTTCCTCGGAGGGGAAATAAAAGGTGGAGACGGTGGCTAAAAACGCAAAAAAAACCCCAAAATCCCGCCCTGACCGAATATTTAAGTTATTTCCGCGCAGCACAAAGCAGAAGGACTTTTCCCCCAGGTGTGGTTTTTATGTTTAGGAGGGAATAAATGCATCCCAAAGTTATTATTTTTTTTTTTTTGGGTTTTTTTTCCCCAAAAATCCTAGCGTAGCCTGCCTATTGTATAATAAAAACGGTGAAAAAAGCGACAAAAAAAAAATTATAAATATAAATAAAAGGGTTTGGTATCAGTGTCTGTGAATTCAGGGTTTGTGCAGTTCCAGGGAAAGCGACGCCATCCATAAAATAAAATATTTAATGGGAATAGAGGAAAAAACGGGGAGGGGGAGGAAAAAAAAATAATAAAAAAAGGTTAAAAAATAATTAAAAAAAAAAAATCAAAGTTTATGGGGTGATCTGAGGATGGGGGGGAAAAAAAAAGGAGAAAAAGGGAAAGAGTCCATTTCTCGTGGCTGTGGTATTTAAATATATCCTGTATGTGTTATCCTGTGCATGTATCTTCCTTCACCGAGCCAAAATAAATTTCACAGAACCGTGGACGAGTGGGGGTTCCTTAAAGTGTAAAAAAAAAATTACATTTCGAATTTTTTATTTTTAAATTTTTAATTTCTTTTTTCTTTTTTTTTTTTTTTTTGGCGCGCCGGGTGGGGCGAGAACCACCACGAACCGCTTCTCCCCCACCCCTATAAATATAAATATATATATTTTTTTTTTTTAACCCAAGACTCATCCTTTTAAGGCTTCCAGGAGCCCGCTCGGGGTTGGGGGGGGGTGGAGAGAGGATTTTAATATAAAGCGCGAGCCCATAACGTTGATTTAAATATTATCCAGGTGACCACAATAAGTCAAGGTCATAAAACAGTAATGTCAGGACAGTCTCGGCGAGCGCTGGAGGTGGATTTTATGATCTGCAAATATAATGTGCCGCAGCAGTAAAAGATGCATTTAAAGGTGACGGTGCGGGAGGGAAGGGAGGCAGAGCCGGCGCGGCGACCTTGGGATGCGCAACTCCCTCCGCGGGGCTTTTTTTTTTATATTTTTATTTTTTTATTTTTGATTTTTTGGGGATGGGGGGGAGCTGCCCAGGGAACCGCACCTCCAGGAGAGAAATATAAAAAAAAAAAACGCCGGGATTTGGGATGGCGGCGGCAAGGTAAGAGCGGAGCGAGGTTTCTCCGCCTGGCTTTCATTTTTTGAGGTTTTTTTTTCATTTTCTTGGGGGTTTTTTGTGCGGTTTTTTGTGGATTTTTGGAAGTTTTGGGGGGTTTTTTGTTGTTTTTTTGTGGTTTTTTTTTTTGGGGTTTATTTTGGGGGGTTTTGGGGGTTTTTTTCTGGGTTTCTTGCGGGGTTTGTTGTTTTTTTTTTCCCTCCTCCCGGCGCGCTCGGGATTTCCGCAGGGGGAGGATCTCGGATATTCCCGGTTTTCCCAGGCGGAGCCGCCTTTTCCTCCGAAATTCCCGGCGTGGGGGCGGCTCGGGGGGCGGCGGAGCCCCGGGAATTGCGGGAATGCTGCGGAACCCCGGGAATTGCGGGTGTATTCCATGGAGCCCCGGGAATTGCGGGAATGCCGCGGAGCCCCGGGAATTGCGGGAATGCCGCGGAGCCCCGCGCGGGTGCGGATCTCGCTGCCCCCAAGCTCCGGGCAGCGTTTTTGGGCTGGATCCGCGAGGTTTGAGCCGGGAATTTCGGGACGCGGGAATCCCGAGCCTTAGAGCTGGCTTAGAGCTGGTTTAGAGCTGGTTTAAGTCTGGTTTTAGAGCTGGTTTAAGTCTGGTTTTAGAGGTGATTTAAGTCTGGTTTTAGAGCTGCTTTTGGTCTGGTTTCGTGCTGGTTTAAGTCTGGTTTTGGAGCTGGTTTAAGTCTGGTTTTGGAGCTCGTTTAAGTCTGGTTTTAGAGCTGGTTTAAGTCTGGTTTTGGAGCTGGTTTAGGTCTGGTTTATAGCTGGTTTAAGTCTGGTTTTGGAGCTGTTTTGGAGCTGTTTTGGAGCTGGTTTTAGAGGTGGTTTGGAGCTGGTTTGGAGCTGGTTTGGAGCTGGTTTGGAGCTGGTTTTGGTCTGGTTTAGACCTGGTTTAGAGCTGGTTTTAGGGCTGATCCCCCCCAGACGCGGCACCGAGCCAGCGATTAAATCCCTTCCACGGCCACTCCTCAAAAACGCCGCTCCGGAATTGGGAATTTTTTGGGATTTCCCTTTTCCAGGCGCCCCCAAACCGAGCCGCGAATCCGGGGCAGAGACGCGGGGAGGGGGGACCAGCAACAAAGGGGCGAATTTTCCCTTTTTTACCCCGAATTTCCCCCTTTTCCCCGCACCTTCCTCCCATCCCCGCCTCCCTCCCGGCTCCTCTCGCTGCCCGCGCTCCTTTTTTTGCCCTTTTCCGCCGGCTCTGACAGAAATCCGTGGATTTCGCAGCTGATCTGTGGTTTAGGTAGTTTCATGTTGTTGGGATGGGCTTTTAGCTCGGCAACAAGAAACTGCCTTAATTACGTCAGTTCGTCTTCATCAAGGGCAGCACCCGCAGCTCCGCCGGGCGCCCTGAGAAAATAAAAAATAAAATAGAAAATAATAAAAGAAAAATGAAATAGAAAAATGAAATAAAACGCCAAACTCCAAAATCCCGTCCCCCACCTCCCCCACCAAAAAAAAAAATCCCCGTCCTGACGGGGATCGACCTCAAACCTGCACCGACCCCCCCAGCGCGCCCCTCCCGGGGGTTTTTCCCTTTTTCTTTGATTTTTTTACCCTTTTTCTTTGATTTTTTCCCCTTTTTCTTTGTTTTTTTCCCCTTTTCCTTTGATTTTTTCCCCTTTTTCTTTGATTTTTCCCCATTTTCTTTGATTTTTCCCATTTTCCTTTGATTTTTTCCCCTTTTTCTTTTATTTTTTCCCCTTTTCTTTGATTTTTTCCCCTTTTTCTTTGATTTTTCCCCTTTTTCTTTGATTTTTTCCCCTTTTCCTTTGATTTTTTCCCCTTTTCCTTTGATTTTTTTTCCCTTTTCCTTTGATTTTTTTCGCCCCGTTCCTTTGATATTTTACCCTTTTTCTTTGATATTTTGCCCTTTTCCTTTGATATTTTTCCACCCTTTTTTATTTATTTAATTTTTTTGCCCCTTTTCTCTTTGATTTTTGCCCCCTTTTTAATTTTTTTTTTTGGCCCCCCTTTTTATTTTATTTTTTTTTTTTTGGCCCCCAATTTCCCCCCTTTTGTTGCTGGAATGGTGAGGACAAAGGCAGCGCCTTTTTTTTTGCGCTTTTCCACCCCAAATTATCAGCGGCGATCGGCGGAGCCCCAGCGAGGGGCGACGCCTTTAAAAAAAAAGCAAAAAAAACGAGAGAAAAAAAGGAAATTATTAATAATAAAAACCATAAAATGTTAAAAATCCCCTCTTTCCCTCCCTCCCCGTGGAATTTTGAATTCCGAAATGTTTTAAAAATCCCATTTTTTTCAGCCGGGAAGGCGATTTAGGGAATTTTTGGGGGGTTTGTGTTGGAAGCGCCCCCTTTTTCCTGAGGATCCCCTAAAGAAAAAACCCCAAAACCTCTCAGCGTTTCGGGGAGGTGAAAAAAAGGGGGAAAAAAGCCGAATTTGGGGGCTTTCAGCTCCTCCTGCTGCCGCTGTCTCCAGCCAGGGATTAAATTTTAAATAATTTATATTTATTTTTCACAATTTAATCCGGATTTTCAGCGGAATTGGGAATTCCTCTGGGATAAAAAACACGAAAAAAAAACTCGGGAATTTGGGCTGGAGGAAA